TCAGGGTTATAGTGAGCTCCATTTTGGTTCATTTCCAGTGTGTCTGATCACCTAGGTGAACTTCCTGCTTTAATTTCTCCACATGATCAGTGGTTTAAAGAGACAGTTTAAACACTCAATGATATGAGGTAGCTTTAAAATTTAAATATCCTTTCTTTGCTCTGTGGAGCAGAGGGAGGAAGCAAACTTGATTTTTAAAAGGCTAATCAGAGCCTCTGTATCTTTTAAAGAAAATTAATAATGGAAGCAGGAGAAGACAGGAGTGGGCAAAGCAAGTTGGCTTCTGGAGCTGTAACAAAAAGGAAAACAAATCCCCTTCTTTGCCTCTTCTTGTCTCCTCAGACTTCAGGACGAAGCCTTCAATTTAAAAAAATCCAAAATGTTGTGCCATGTACACACAGGATTCCCAATGCTCTCTTTTCACAGATGTTGCAGCTCACAATTGTTGTTTTCTTACAGTGCAGGAAAAACAACAACCGAGGTATGTAACATTTCCCTGATGGAGAGAGGAAAAAAGGAGAGAGATTGTCAGTGGCTGAATTGTTTGAATGCTATCCCTTCCTTGGGAACTGAGTTATTAAGTTAATCTTCTGACTGGATCTTTAATTCCAACATTTACTGAAGTATTTTCACAACGTCTAAAAAAGATGGATGGAAGTGAGAGGATGTATGGAAGTGAGAGCTGGACCATAAAGAAGGCTGACTGCCAAAGAATTGATGCTTTTGAATTGTGGTGCTGGAGGTTTTGAAGGAAATCAACCCTGAGTGCTCACTGGAAGGACAGATCCTGAAGCTGAGGCTCCAATACTTTGGCCATCTCATGAGAAGAGAAGACTCCCTGGAAAAGACTCTGATGTTGGGAAAGTGTGAAGGCAAGAGAAGAAGAGATGACAGAGGACGAGATGGTTGGACAGTGCCATCAAAGCTACAAACATGAATCTGACCAAACTTTGGGAGGCAGTGGAAGACAGGAGGGTCTGGCGTTCTCTGGTCCATGGGGTCACAAAGAGTCGGACGTGACTAAACGACTAAACAACAACAACAACAAAGATGGCTAATTCTTGCTCTCCCAAACATAAATGTTTCCAATATTTGTATGTCCACTATTTGCCAGCTATCTCCTAAAATTGTTTAATGCTTTCTTACCACAATAGTTTACTACTGTCGTTGCTATCATAATCAAGTTTGGCTTGTTTCTTATTTCCCAAGATCATCAGTACACCTTAACAAGAGCATGAAAGTATAAAATGAAAGACTAACCACGTTGGCAAATAATGCAGGACATGCTCTAGAACCTGGACAGTTAGATCCCTATTATTTTCTCTTGACTACATGACATACAATTCAATGTGAATCAGCTTGGGGTTTTTCTCCTCCTAGTGAGTAGTCTGTCATGTTTTCCTCCACCACTAGAGCATCTACCTTCTTCTTCTTCTTCTTCTTCTTGAAAGAAATGCATTCACAATGGTTCAGGTGATGTGATTGCTTCAGCTGATGGGGAGGTATATGTAGCCTTTGTATTTAAGCTATTCCATTTGGTGTTGAGAAAGACAGGGCAGGGGAGAAACTGGCTCCTGCTTGAATCCTTTCCTCCACAAGGCTTAAAGCCACCTCATGCACAGAAATCAAAATTACTTCTCTTCTATTACCACTCAACATGCGACTTGTCTCCATGTCTTGAGATCCCAGGAAGCATAGCAGCTCTCTTTATTTGAAATAGCATCCAGAGACCTGCAACCCTGGGCATGGCATCCTCACAGATACCACAGGTATAACAAACAAGGAATGGAATTGTGATGTGGAGTGTATCTATCCTCCACTTCTGTTTCTCCCACTTTTCTAACTGGGCGGTCAAGATTCATTGTGCAGATTTAATTGTCATTGGGTTCTTATTCTTTGGATTTGCACATTTAGGATTTTTGGGTTTCACAAGGATTTCACTTTTCTGCTTATGTGATCCTTGGGGATTTTTTCAGCAGCTGCATACCTCTCCCATTTGTCCTGTTTTTGTTCTGGAAAGAAGCACTCACTGCTTTAGTTTGTTTCTAGAGGCACAATCACACAGCTGCACGCCTTGAGGAGAAATGAAAATCTAACCACCTCCATCTTAATAACTCACATGATTGTGTGAGTCAGACCTGGGGATTGAAAGAAAAGTTAAAGGACTGTGCCTGTTTATAAATTCAATAATATATCTTTAGGATGATGATGCATTACAACTGGGGATGAGTAATTCCTATATTTAGGCTGGACAGGGGTTATACCAGTGGTTCTTAACCTTTGTTACTCGGATGCTTTTGAACTGCAACTCCCAGAAACCCCAGTCAGGACAGCTAGTGGTGAAGGCTTCTGGGAGTTGCAGTCCAAAACTCCTGAGTAACCCAAGAACCAGTGGGTTATACCATACCACCAGATGTGATCTCACTTGATTCTGAAACCTAAGTAGAGCCAGCTCTGGATAAGAGACCACCATGGATTTTCAGGTAAAGCGAGGGAAGAATCCTGCAGGAATATCTGGGAACTGCTGCCAGTCAAGAGTTTACAATACTGGGCTAGATGGACTAATGGTCTGCTTCAGTATACAATGCCTTCCTATGTTCTTACACGCAGGACAAACTAGATAAGGACATTGCATTTAATTTTTTTGTTGTCACCTTTCTTTGCCCAGCAATGTGTAGCTTGGATCAATAGAACAAATCAGCTGCATCTATTACTCTGTATACATCCTGTGAAGAAATTATTACCCTTCTTTTTGCAACTGTAGCATGAATTTTCATAGGCTAACCTGTGAGAGAGATTGATTCTGCCTTTACTTAGGGATTAGCTTTCTTTTAACCTTTAGACTGTATCAAATTTTGACACAGTGAGCTGAATTATAAACATCAATGGAATTTGTATCAATCATCGTGAGGAATTCAAGTCGCATTTTAGTTCAGTGAGTCTGCTGTAAATATAACCAAGTCTGGATTTTGCCCCGTGATATACTGAGTTTTAAATGACCATGCAACATTACTAGAGTGATACAGTATTTCATCTATACATTTTGCTCTACAGGGATAAAAGCAACTCAGGACAGTGACAGATTAACTGGGAAAGCAGCACAGAGAAGAAGCATTATGCTCTCTTCTCTAATGCCCAAATCTTAATAGGAGTTCCTCCACTGCACGGCAGAAGCTTTGGCTTTTAAAAGACCACAGGAGATCTTATGTGTGGATCTTCTCTGTCATGTAAGGGCCTCTGTTACGAATTGGCTTGATGACAACACAAACTTATTTCCTTATATGGGATCATTTCTTAATTCCAGAGAGAGATGGGAAGCCTGTCCCGGCAAGCCACCCTCAGGCTCTTTCTGCATAGCATCTATTGATCCTCCCTCCCTCTTATGATGGCACATTTCCCTACTGTGACTTAACCACGGTCACAGAAAGAGGTTTATAGAACAGAACTGACATCCAGGCATGTAGGTGAAATCCTGAACCAAGTATGGTAGCTAGCAGTAATGTACTGGACCTGTGCTCTGTGTTTTTGCCTTCAAGGTCTAGGCAGAATATTTACGGGTCTCTGTCTCTTCAAGGCACCTATGCTGGGCAATTCTTCTGGCTACCATGCTGCATAATATCTTACCTTGGGGCGAGGCATCATTCCTTGAGCCGTATGGGGATCAGCCAGTAGTGAGAAGTCAATAAGAGACTGACTGTGTTTTAAGAAGCACCTGGGAAATATAAGTTCTGTAGATGGAAATATGTTATTCCTCTCTTTAAATATTAAGAGTGAAATGTAGCCATAAGGCATGTGAAAAGTATAACTTGAACTCCTGGAGCAGAGGGCTCTGTCAGTCTTGCGAGGGCCCCCACAAATGGGCATTAGATCAAATCAAGCCTGAGCTATCTCTGGAGGCAAATTACCACCTTTCCCACACTTTAACCTCCCCTTCTTGTTTCTCTAAGGAGCTGAGCTCCTGTTTATTTTTCAACAATGTACCTCCTCCACTTCCCCAGCACACACTCTGTTTCAGTTCGAAATAGGATTTAGACATTTCTATCTTCAGTGCAACCTTCTAAAAAAAAACACACACCCCTAATTGTTTTTAATTTTACTTGCTTCGTATATTTTTATGGGTATGCACTGGGACTGAACATCTAGGTATCTATGCTAACTCTGCCAAACTGAACACAACACACATTTTTTTCTTTTTGGTGCCTAATTATGTTTTGAACTATTCATGAATGGGTTTCTTGGACAAAGCACAGAACTCACTCTTTTTTTCCCCCCTTGCCTCACGTTGCAACACTGAGCTTTGGCTAACATAGGTAGAGATGGATCCTTACTTTGGGGACATTTAAGATGTCCGGGCTTTGTATGTCAACTCTGAACTTCTCAAAGTTGCACTGCTTTTGAAGACTCCTTCAGCCAGATCTGTTCGTGGGTTTGTTCAATGTGGTTTCTCAATAACAAACAACCAGATGCCCGATTGCAGGGCACGAACCATGCCAAGGATAAAAACGGATGCATCTGTGTTGGAGGCCTGGATAAATTCAATTTCCAGTTATCCATTTCTCATGAGCCTGCAGTATATTTCCGTAGTTCAAACGATAGTTGCCCTTCTATTACGAAACTCCTTTTCCATTAAAAAAAAAATCACTTGATGGCTTGTATCACTCTTTCAATTCTTTTTTTTAAAAAAGAACACATGATTAATTTTGTTTTTTAAAGACACGTGGAAGAGTAACAGGGTTTCTTCAAAAGACACATTAATGATTAGCCTTGGAAGAGCAAAATTTCGTTTCCCCTAGATCCATAATCCGAGAATCCAGCCTCGCCGAGCTTGGACCCCGCACAGATTCATTTACACAAGCTGGTCAAACCAAGCACAGGGTTTTTCTCCTCCAAGAAAGCGAAAGCTTGGCGTTTTGAAGGCACTAGGTAAACAGGATGCTCTCTCGTGATGCATTATTACTACTACAGGGAAATCAAACATTAAACCGCTGAAGGGCGCGGGTGGGAATCGATGGGCGTGGCAGAGGAGGAGGATGAATAACATCCAGGCGGGGTTAGCACAAACTTTGCTCCTCATTAGGTTTTTCCCATGCTCGAGGCGGCCCGTTTTTCTTCCTTGCCCATCGGGCGTGCGAGCAAACTTTTATAGCCTCTCTCCCACCACCCGCCGCCTCAAATTTGCAAGGGGCTGGTGAGGTGTCTTCGGGCAATGACGACTCGGGGAGGGGTCGGTGTTCGTCGGTTGACATAGTAACATCCCCTTCTCCTCTCTCCGCCCGCGGCTGATGGGCTGCTGCTGTTAGTGGCGGGTGCCTGCATGGACTGGCAGGAGCGGCGGCCGGGGCGGGCAAGAAGAGGACCCCTCGGCTCTCTGGGGATGCGTGTTTGCGCCTCCGCTTGCAGCCCCGCGCAGAAACGCTCCCCGAGCCGCCCTCGGGAACCGCGGGAGACAGGGGGCCCCGAGCCGACCCGCGGGCCGGTTTCTGTCCCCCTTCGCCGCTCCTTTTCCAGGCAGAGGCTCCCGTTGGCGCCCCTTCGCCTTTCCTCGCCGCGTGTGAGGCTCAGCGCAGGAGCCTCCGGTGCCTTTACGCGCGCTGGGGTGGCGAGGCAGCCTTCGGCTGCGCGCCCTCTTCTCCACGCCCGGGGTTCTCCTCAGAAAGAAAAAGAGGGGGACCCTCCGGCACCCCAAAGGCGGCGGCGACCAGCGCCATGAGTCAAAGCCAACCCTACGCGCTTCGGAGCAACGGCTCGCCCGGCGGCGGGGCCCGGCGGAACGACAGCCAGGACTACCTCCTCATGGGCTCGGAGGCGCGTGAGGAGAACTGCATGGCGTCCTTCGGCTTCTACCCCCTGTGAGTGCTTTTTCCCGCCAAACCGAAACGGGGAGGGGGGGAGACACCCCTCATGCTGGGTTTGTGGGGAGCGGGGGAGAGGGAGGGAAGAAGAAGGGTCTGAGGGCAAGACGCGTGGCCGGGAGAGGATGCCCACCGGAGGCGAAAGGACGTGTGGCCACTGGACGGAGTCCTCCGCTCTCTCCGGGACAACTAGCGCTCTGAGGGGGGCGGACGGGCAGGGGTGAGAGAGGAGGCCGATGGGTCGGCCGGTCATCCCAGGCCTTTTTACCGCCCCCCCTCCCGGGGGTCTCCAAAAGCTGCCCGGCAGGCCGAAATGCGTAGGGTCGAGCGTTTCCTGAAGAGCTGCACCTGTTGCGTTTCGGGGGGGAAGAAAGCGAGAAACCAAAGCAAGAGCGACTTTTCCTTTTAGTGGCTGCGTGTGTGGAGGAGTCTTTTTGTTGGCAAACCCAGAAGAAGGTGGTGGTGTGGGGGGGGGAAGGCTTTCTACAATGGGAGGGGGCTGCTGAGGGAAGGCATGGCATGGGATGCGGTGAGGAGGGGTAAAGGCCCCCGGGCTGTGAAGGTGTGGGTGGCGAAAAAGAAAGCACAGCTGTGGTGTTAGAATTAGGGCAGGAATGCGCTCGCTGCTTTATGCCCAACCTTTCATTATAGCCTTGTGATGAGGAAAGGGGGTGAGGTGAATATAGGTATTGGCTTCAAGATTTAAGGTGCAGAATGCCCTCCCCCCAGCTCCCTTAAGGTTTGGTGTGTAGGTGGTGAGGAAACAAATGTAAAGTCCATGGAGCACAGATGATCCTCACCTTTGTGGTGCACACATCTTTTACCACCGCAACCTGCACAGAATTTGTGGCACCTCCAGACAGGCCTGGGGAGCTTCCAAGGCTCAGATATAAGGCAAAAAGACAGGTTCCTTAGTGCCTGGTACTCTTACTACTATATGTTTGGGTTGCTTCCACACCAGGGCCACTGGGGTGTGAAGTAGGTGCAGAGCACCAATTGTAAAAAATCCACCCAGTTCTGATCCTTGGGATTTGGCTGTTGGCAACAATTTAGGCTTACGTTTTCCTGCACTGTGGAGAGTATTTTTTGGGGGGAGCTTATGATATGGGGGATAAGGGGAAAGAGGGAGTATGAGGTAGAGAGATCCTCTGTAAAATGAATGTTGAACGAGAATGAGATGCAGGGACGCATGGGAGGACTAACAGGTGTATATGTGGGAGGTTGCAGAGTTATAGCCTGGCAGCAGTGACACAATGTGGGGCCTCAGTCAGGTTGTAGGGATGTTTAGGATGGAACAAAAAGAATTTGAAGAATTGGTAGGCTGTTTGTCAGGGCAGGATGGTGAACAGAATGTGTAGGTTACATGGCCTAGCCTAGATTGTGTACTGCAAGTCAATTCTGTAAAGCATCCTGAAATTTTATTTAAGATAAGAAGAGCCCCTGATGGAATAATATGATTCATAATTTTCCTTCTAACTAGGGCAGTTCAAACAGTGATTAAAGTTGGATTTTTCTTACCCTTTTATGTTTTTTTCGGAATGAGAATCCCAGTCACCACTGATTATTGTGAGTGTAAAATAAGTGAAGAAGATGAAAAGATATGATTTCATGGATCTGTTGCATGAGTTGGAGCAAAGTCCTCAAAGAGTTGTGTGACACCTTAAAGGCTGCAAAGTTTTATTTTGACATAAGCTTTTGTGGACTGTAGACCATTTCTCCAAAGAAGTGGGCTGCATTTAGTGAAAGCTTATGCCACATAAAATTTGTTCGTTTTCAAGGCGATACAGAACTTGGCATGAGTTTCGCTGCAGAAGAAGAAGACTAGCATAACTGTTCCTCTGGAATTGAGTTGGAGGGAGACTGTAACATAGTAACCCTGTAGCTTGTGATGTATTGAACAGAAGTTGCTTTATTGTCAACAGCAGTTCACAAGAGGTCACTAATGTATAGTAACCAAGGTGGTGAGCCAGGGTGGTGTAGTGCATAGAGTAATGGAACAGCACTCAAGAGACCCTGGATTGAATTACAGCTTGGCCATGGAAATTCACTAGGTGGTGGTTCACTGGTGTAAGACAATGATAAATATCACACACACCTGGGAGAACATATTAAGGAAGATTATACATCAAATACAACTTGAAGGCATGCAACAAACACCCATGTAGGTGGAACGGGCCCTGCAATCTAGTTGATCGGCATCATAAGGTGGCCCCCAGTGGTCCTTTTCAGTGCACTGTGTCTTCTAATCCGTCCCCCTATCTCTTCAGGAGCATCTGGGTAAGCACAAAAGAGGGCTAATTATACTACTAAGGTAAACACAATATTGTAGTCCCCTGTCTTTCAGCACACAATGTCTGTTGCTCTTACTCAGGATGTGAATCTCACAGCCTCAGATTCTTGAGAGACTGAGAAAAAAAAGCACCCTCTTTTCTCATTGCAGTGAAATTTCTCTGGACATAATTTTTTTAAAAAAACTATTTTGCAGGATTTCTTGGATGTTTTGTGCTCAATTTTCATTCCCAATCTGTGCAGAACTATTACAATTCCTATGTAAAATGGCATGTTTTCTGAAAAGGATTCCCGAAAAAGGGCACTTGGGCTATGCAGAGTTTGGCACTTATTTGCAGAAAAAAAACATGTTAAAAAGAAAGAAGAACAAGTCCAAGGCTTCATTTACAGGGGAAGCTGAACAATCTAGCTGGTGCAGGGGAAGGTCTCAGCAAAGTAAAACTTGGAAAATAGCTGAGAACAAGATTTTTATTTAATATTCTTCACATGCCTAGTTATAACAATATTTGTAGAAAGGATTCAGAAAACCCCTTCCTCCTTGCAGAAAAGAACAGGTTAAAAAGCAAGAAGAACAAGACCAAGGCTTCATTTACAGGGGAAGCTGAGCAATCTAGCTGGTGCAGGGGAAAGTCTCAGCAAAGTAAAACTTGGAAAATAGCTGAGAACAAGATTTTTATTTAATATTCTTCACATGCCTAGTTATAACAATATTTGTAGAAAGGATTCAGAAAACCCCTTCCTCCAGCCCTCTACTTCCTGATGGCCAGACAGACGTCTAGGTCATAAATGGAATGTGGCCTACTAGAGATCTTTCATCTAGCTACAAGCTTTTTCTGAGCCAATCCGAGATGAGACTTAAAGGTATACAAGCCAAATATCCTACATAGAATTGAGCTGTGCTTTGCAGGTGTGAAAGCTGTTACACTGGTTCTTAACCCTGAACACTCCTAACACTGCCTTTCCCAACTTTGCTTAGCATTTCCTGTGCTGCTTTCCTTGGCCCCATCCCTTAGCATTAGCCCAACCTGCTTGCTAGTAACTTGGCCTTTCAGATATTTCCCAGACTCACCCCCAGGCCAAAACAGATTCTGTTTCTCCACCCAATGGCGGTTCCCTTTTCATAAGTTGATTATTTACCTACTACTTTTCTACAATGCCCAGTAGCTGAAGCAAAGGAACAACCAACCAACAGGAAAATGGGGAAACTGTTTTGCTTTGGAGTTGGAGATGAAAGGATCCATTTGTTTGCTACCTCACAGTAAACCTAAGGATTTATATGTGAAAAGCATTTTTATTTAATATTCTTCACATGCCTAGTTATAACAATATTTGTAGAAAGCATTAGGCTTGGCAAATATCTGTATATGTCCCTCTTTTCCTACTGTATATCCTGCAATTCCTTGCAAGTCACTGTTGTTACAATATAGTCTCATGTCTAGTTATAACTCTCTGTGTGTGTAGTGGGTGCTGTGGACTTAAATCTAGATCTGTCTAATTTGGTGAACCTGTGTTTAGGCAATGGTCTTGCGAGTGATAGGTAGAGGCTTTTCTGTGTAAGTGGGAATTACAGATGAGCACAAGCCGGTTCGTCCCAGTTTGCCCCAGTTTGTAAAGGCAGCAGCAGAGGTGCTCCTCCTCCTCTTCTCACCTTCTCTGGCTCCAATAGCTATTCACTGGGCCCAGCTTGATTGCTTTTTCCACCTCCTTGGCTGATCTGCCAGTCGCGAGCAAGAGCACAGAATTATCTGGTCTGCTCTTTTGCCTGAGTGGGAGATCAGCCAAGAGGGAGGTTACTGAGCTGTTGCCAGGACTTGAAGCTCCTGGAGGCTAGACCTGGTGAGTGGCTGATTGAGGAAGCAGGTGAGAGGAACAGCAGCACCTGTGCTGCGACCATTACGAACCGGTAGGAAATGGTTCATGCCCATCTCTAGTGGAAATTAAATATACTTCCACCCTCCTTGTAGAAATTTAGATTTCAAGAAGGAGAATTCTATACTGGCCATCTTACTTAAATGTTACTTATCTTTGTGTAGGATTTGTGTTGAAGCTTTCATTATGTCAGCCTCTATTTGTAGTCTGGAAGGGCTGAATTGGACCTCGGTGTTAACAAAAGCCATAACTTTCATGTCACCATAAAGAGGACAAACTTTCTGGCATGGTTTCTGAGATTTAACACTATCAATCACAAACATAAACTCTCTCTCCTTAGCCTGTTTATAATAGCTGTTTAATATGACAAACTACAAAACAGTACCACACAGAAAATAAAAAGGCTCATTAGCATAACACTTCCAGACATCTTACAAAAATGTTGATGATGAAACTAGGATGTTTGTCTTGACTCCCTACCCTAAAACTCCACAGCTGGAAGGGACCTTGTGGGTCATCTAGTCCAGGTCTGGCAAGGAGGCACAGTGGGGAACCGAAATCCCATTCTGGCTCCACACCCAAATACCTAAACTACTGAGCTATCCAGCAGTTCATTACAGGCTTGCAGGCTATGGGGAGATTTTTGTAGAAGCAGGAAGTGCATCTTTATATTCATTGTATAGAAGGACAGTGTGGATCATACAATCATAGACCCAGGTGGGACTCTATTCTAACTTATACCAGCCCTTTTCAGGGTTTACTTAGGTATAGAATACAGTACACAGAAGTGGTTTAACATTCCCTACTTTTGGGGACACTTTGAGATTGAATAACTTGCC